TGAGTGTTAAACCCCCTTCTCTTTAGTATTTCTCTAGTAAAGGCGTACGAGGCAGACATTGTCCTCTGAAGGCTGCTTTGGCTGCAGCCTGTGGGTCTGGCATGTTTACTTTCAGTGCCGTTCTTTGCTGATGAAGTTTTTAAGTATATTTTCAAGTATATGTTCAAGTATTTACTTCCAGATACAGATATTAAATTGTTGAGTCATTATGTCTTAAACATTGAAAAATGTACATAGATTCTTTCAGATCTCTAGGTGTGAAGGGCTGTGCGAACAGTGTGTCATGTTGAGCCAGGCGAAGTGACAACTTTAAATTCTGTTTGTTGTTAGTGTCTGTGCTCGCATGACATGATGCCAGTGTGGAAGGAAGAGGATGGCTTCGGGGAGTTGGTTCCCCCTTCTGCTACAGATTCTTTCAGTGCCTTTACCCACAGAGCCATCTCACCAGACCAGACGCTAGCTTTAAACACTTCTTTTTTGACAGTTGGGTAGATTAAAAACTGGTATCACAGTCCTCATGAGTTTCCCATACACCCCCTGGTTATCTAGTAGGGTTAAGTGTCTTCCTATATTTACTGGCTTCACAGTTTTCATTTGTGGATCCCATATCTATGTGGCTTTTTAATTTAACGTTTGGTGCGCCGATCCCTCTGCAGCTTAATCTTGTGAATCTGTGAGCTAGAGACCTAACTTCAGCTGACATCTCTTCCTCCTTATGGCTTGCAGACTGTATTTAATGTATACTAAATTTGTGTCTATACATCTGTGTCTATACATCAGAAGCCTTCCTTCTGCCCGACTCTATAACGTTTTCTTTCAGTGACTAGAACATACGGTTTGACTTGCTAAAACTTCATAAGCTTTACATGTAAAATATTTGAATTATATAATATAGATACATTTTATTAGTTATATTACTAATAGCATGTAAGGTAATAGGCATACACTGGAGGTCTATGCTTGATGTCTGGTAATTTTTGTTTATTTTTCTGGTTTTCTTCCCTTCGTTTTATATTGTTGTTGCTCTTTTATTTGTTGTTACTATGCACTATGCTTGATTCAAAAATTTTTCTTAACTGCTATTTTTTTTTTTTTTTGCTTCTATTCTTTTTTTGAAGAAAAAAAAATTGAGATAGGGTGTTAATGTAAACCAGGCTGGCCTTGAACTTGCTATGCAGCCAAAGATGACCTTGAACTTTGGATGAGCCACCATGCTTGGTTTGAGCAGTATTGGGGACTGAAGTCAGGGGTGTGTGCAGCATGGGCAGGCACACAGTAAACCGAGCACAGTCATCTTTTAGGTGAAGTTTTGAATCATTTTGTCAAGTTCCAGTTGAGATACTGACAAGAATAACATATTTTTGATAAAATTGGAATCTTACAGCTTTGAGTGTTTCTGTCCAAAAAAATGTTGCTTTTTTTGTTGTTATTCAATTCCATATTGATTCCCCCCCCCCAACCAGGTAGGTATTTTATTAAAAATACATGTTTTCATATTTCTTCAATTTCATTAATCTGTACTAACTCAGTTAATTTTGGATTTGTTTCATTCTTGTTTTTCTGGCTTTTTTGAGTTGATAGCTCAATCCCCCTTTCTTTAGTGTCTTCCTAGTAAAGGTGTCTGAGGCAGACATTGTCCTCTGGAGACTGCTTTGGCCGCAGCTCATGGGTCTGACAAGTTAATTTTCGGTGTCGTTCCTCGCTGATGAAAATTTTAACTTTCTTTTCCACTTCTTTAAAGGATTGTCTAAATCCTCTGTTATGTTGGCAAATTGATTTTGGCTTCTGTTTTATCTTTCTGGGCCGGTGTGCATTGCACTTGCAAGGCAAGCGCTACGCTCTCAGCTGTGGCCTTGGCCTTGGCCCAGGCTGGTTTTTTATTTTTAACTCTTGAGTTATATTTTATGCTTAGCTCATCCCTGCTTTCCTGAGATGTTTTCCCCCCAATACCTAATACACAGTCAGTCTGTGAGACTGCCCCATATGGGTTTGAAAACTATAGTTTTTTATCGCTGGAATATACATTTCCTGTGTCTCTGCTGTACTGAGACAGCACCTGCTGTAGGAATAACCTTGACCTTGTGTTTTGGCTTTCTGATTTACAGAGTTGGAAGGAGAAAGCTTTTCTCTTTGGCTTCCCTTTATTATATTTCAGCTCAAATTCTGTTTTCTTGTGTGCTGTCATTGACCTTTTATTTTGATTATCATTTAGTTAAGGTCTCTTTTTAGAACTGTCTTCAGATTGCTGGTTGTTCGGTGAATCTCTTAGGTAATTGGCTGGAATGACTTGACTCGGAGTCTGTGAGTAATTTGAACTAATGGCCAAGGATAGAGTTGGTCTTACTGTATGGGTCTGTGTGTTTCATCTATTGTACTGATGGTTGAAAACTACCTCCTTCATCTTCTGACCCTCATAGCCAGTATAGATGGTCAACAAATGCTTGCTAAATAAATCTCCCGAATCCCTCACTTCTGTTCCGATTTGAGAACCAACTTTGGGTCAGACCACTCGTGTATAATGGGGTTCAAAAGTCAATAAATGAAGGTCAGAGTACTTTTCCTACTTGTATAAACTTCACACATAAAGCTTTCGAGTCTTATCCTGTGTGAGATCTAGTGGTGATTCACACTGTGTTAGTGAAAGATCTTAGAGATGAAGAGGGAGCACCTGCTCCAGCCTTGCCCCTTAGGACAACGCACTCTGGGGGACATGTCCCAGCCACAGTTGGGTCATAGCTCTAGTTTCAGATTGAGACCTTAGATTGGTGGCTTCTGTTTCATCTCATGGAGCTAGAGGGTGTTTTAATGTACCATGGTAACATCAGCTTTATTGCAGAATGATCTTTCAGAAAAGTCACACTGTAAGGGAAAGACACCAGCGTTAGTGGCATTCACATAAATGGAGGTGTGTGACCTGAAATTGGGGTTGCTCCTGGCCCCTCATTGTTCTTTAACAGAGAAAGAAATTGGAGAAAGCAGCAGCATGTATTGCTATGTGGCAGAGTGCAAGTCTGGAGTTAGGGCCTCTCAGATAGGGAGGTGACACTTGGGCTCATCAAACATCTCTGGAAATCTCTCTCAGTACAAACAAGCTAGATTGGTTTAGCTCGAGTTTCTTCTGTGTGATGATGCTGCCAGTGTGGGTCTGCAGAAGCCTTGTTGGAAACTCTGGAAGTGGTTCACTGGCTGCACCTGAATTTCTCCTGAGCTACTCAGAGTTCCTAACAGGACCATCTTACTCAGTTAGTCATCACAGGTTCCATATCCTTTATCCAAAATGTCCTGCACCAGAAATACTGAAAATTGAGCCTTTTAAAATCTTTGATGTTTGCATATATATAGTGTTGACCATGAGACCCAAGTCTAAATGTAGAATTTGTAGGATGTAGGTAGCCTGAAAGTAGTTTCATATAGTCTGTTTAATAATTTTGTGCATAAGTTAGCATTTCTTGGTGTGGCATTGTCTACTTGGAGCAGTATCCTGGCTTTTTAAATTTACATATTTCGGAGCACTTTTTGTGCAGATTTTTAGGTAAGGGGTGCTTAACTTTTATAAACCATCCAGAGTCCGTAGCTTTGGATGTTGTGCTAGGCATGGGTACAAGCTTCTTTCAGTGACAGGGTCCCTCTGTGTAGCCCAGGCTGGTCTTGAATTCACCTCGATCTTCGTTCAGTGTTAGAATTACAGATGTCTGCCGCCACCGGGTGATGTGTACACTTTTAAGTTATTGCACACCAACTAGTTACTGCTTGAGAAGCTAAAACCCTCTCTGTCAGCTCTCTTCTTTGGTGAGAAGAGGGTCTGGACATGGTACAACCCATCTGGTGGACACTGTACATGTCCCCCTGTCACACGGAGCTCAGCCCGCTTCCTCCTTCACTTCCTCTGGAGTCAGATTAGCTTGCAGCAGATGTTGACCTGGGGATACCCTCCCTTTCCTGAATTTCATTTGGAAGGTTAGCGATTCGCCAGAAGCACGGCAGGTTGACCACAGGGAGAACACAGAAGCCGTGATGCTATCTGTTGATTTAACAGAACTGAGACAGCTCTGTGCTGAGGTCAAAGGCCACGGTCAAGATTGACCAAGAAAAGAACGGAAATGGCAGAGAACTTGACATGCCCAACATTTTTAGCACTTTCTTCCTGCTTTCTGTAAGAGTGGCGCTCTCTCTCTATAACAGCCATTCTTGGGATCTCTGTGGGGGATGCTAACCTACTGAATATTGGTTATGAACTATTATTTTTGGAATATAGTTGGAGAGGTTCCAACACACCCTTCAGAAACCTATATGAGGAGATGCCCTTGAGTACTGGGAAGCAGTGGAAATGGCTCATATACATTGTTGAGCACATATGCACACAGATGGATGCTCCTTGGTTACCATGGGGTTTATGGCTCAGTAAAACCACTATAAGTGAAACTAGTGTAAGTCAAAGGTGCATTCAACACACAAGCTTCCCAGCAGCTGAGCACCCTGTGCACTGCAGTGTGGACTGTTTCTGCTCGTGATGGGGGCTGGGTGGCTGCCTGGGAGCCGCCTCTCACCGCCATTTGCTGCTGCTGTCCCCCTTGTGACAGAGAACTGTACTACACACAGCCAGCCCAGGAAGAGCTCCAAGTTCCAAGTGTGAATTACAGTTTTTTCTGTTCGTGCTTTGCTTTTTATTGTGAAGTCGAAAATTACAACTTAGGACTATACAAGTCCCGAATCGTCTGCTACCTTAAGTAGCTCATTTGGCAAAAACATTGGAAGGCAGTTCAGTATATTTTGAATGGCACTAAACTCTGGTGACACATACTTTTCCTGCAGCCCTTTCCAGAAATATCCATGGTTCAACAAGAAAAGATGGCTTGATGATTGTCTTTTTAAAGTGCAGAATGAACTGTTCCCACCAGGTTGGGGGTTCTCAGGAATCGGGCCCCCTTGACTCCACATGCCCCATGGCAGGTCTTTCCTGGCCATTCCCAGGTTTTCTAACCAAGTGTTCCTTCTCCTAGAATGGCTGCAGTCTGTCCAGGCCACCATGGTCCTGTCTGTCATCTTCAGCGTCCTGTCTCTGTTCCTGTTCTTCTGCCAGCTCTTCACCCTCACCAAAGGCGGCCGCTTTTACATCACTGGATTCTTCCAGATCCTTGCTGGTAAGTTGTGGACGGTAACGGCCATATGGAATATGGGCCTTTTGAAGGACATGGTGCCAGTGGTGGATGTTTGCGAATTGGGCTATTGGATGTTTATCCTGAAGCTTTTCCCCTCTCTGTCTCTCTGTCTCTCTGTCGTCTCTCTCTTTCTCTCCAGCCCTCACACGTGTGTGTGTGTGTGTGTGTGTGTGTGTGTGTGTGTGTGTACAGCATGTGCATATATATTTAAACTTAGCAGCATTCCACTGCTCTGTGGAATGATACACACATGAAAGAGTCTTCGGGTCCTAAGAAAAGCCTTCAAACATGCCAGACCCATCACCATGAGTGAAGCTGTAATATGGGCACATCATTAGAAGTAAATGCTGAGGCTGCCCACTGAGCCAAGGATGTGATGCCCAAGACACTGTCTTGGCCCTGTTTAGACCATGGCCCTGTGCAGAGTGCTGGTGAGGGTGTTCTCAGGAAAGTGTCTTGTGCCTGTAAGTGGAAATCGTCACACTGACACACTCCCCTGGACTTGGGTTCCTGCTGCAGTCTCTGCTGCCTTCACCAGCATTCTGTGCTAATGCTTCCAAATAGGAGACTGGTGACACACACAAACACAGGAAAGGCTTCCACCTTCTCCCTGTGGTCTGTGCGATGGCGTGTAGGGCCCAGAAGTATCTGCCACAGAGGTAAATACCTTACAGTTCTGTCTGTGGAGTCTGCTCAGTGCTTCATTGACGCCTATCTTTCTGTCTGATGTTTGCCAATTGACCAAGACTGGAGGGTATTGGAGAGAAGTGAGAGGCAGAGAGTAAACCCCAGAACATGTCTAGGTACCATGACACCCTCCCGATCCTGGCCCTCCCTATAGCCAAAGATGTAGTGCCCCACGTTTACTGTGAGAATGTCACTGGGGTCGTATCACCACCCATGCTCAGAAGCAGCCCTTGGGGGATTAGAAACAACCCCCAAGTCCTTGGTGGATGCTTGTACAGAGAGACATGGCCTGAGGCTGGCTGTTAATACCTTTTCTAGAAGATCTGCCAGTCTGTCTCCTGAGGGCTGGGATCAGAGGGATGTGTCCCCATGCCCAGTCCTGCACCAGACTTTTCACTGGATGCTAAACTCAGATTCACACCTTTTGTTATTGGTAGGTTTTGAAGCGTCGGCTATGAGTAGCCGCACCTACAGAACTGCTCAGTGGAAAACCGGCTGGGTGGGGCCGAGTGACTGGGCAGCAGCCTTTGCATCTGTATTGTTTCCACTTTCAGTTATCCAGGGTCTTTTTTACAATACCATTCTCGTGAAAATTCACAAAGTCTAGTCACTACCCTTGATCTTAGCCACAAGGCTGAGGAGAAGAGCCGTGAAGTCCAGAGATAAGGATCACGGTGGTCCGTGTGGCCTCTGGGTTAAGGCCTTTCCATCCACACGGACGTTCTCAGAGCTGCTCTAACCGTTCAGAGTCTGTCTGCTGTGGTACTTGCTTTACACCATTGCTCCTCCTCTGAACTCATTGTGAACATTCTAGAACACTGCCTCAAGTGCCCCTGGCTTTGAAAACACATGAGTTGCTTTTCCTTAGGCCCTTCAAATCTAGCTGCTCATCTCTTACAAGACTCTTTTTCAGTCATGGGTCCTCAGCTGAGCGGCCCTTATTTAAGTAAGAAGTTCTGGGGAGTTAGAAATGTCGAAGTGAAACCGTGGCTGTGATTTCCTAAGGACGTTCTGTACCTGGTTGTCACCTCTAGTCCAGACGATCTGAAGGGCGCTCTCGTAGGAATCTCGGGTCTCCAGAATGTTCATTTGAAACTGCTGGCAGGTCTTTCTACTCAAATTGGAAACCCAAGAACCGGGGCTTTGCCCAGAGACCTCCCGATTCTTTCAGAGGGTGGCAGTTCTAAGTCGAGGGCGTGAGCTCTCCCCCGGGTGGTGGTGTTTATGAAGGAAGGTAGGCTCCGGAGAGAAGATGAGGGTGGTGTGGCCGGAGGTGAGAATTAGTGCATACTTGAGAGTTGGCAGTTCAGCATCAAGGAAGAAGTCAGACAAACTAAAGCAGCTGGGGAAGGGAAGACAGGGAGGAGGTGCATGGGGAGGCAGATGGAAGAAAGAAGGAGAAAGAAGCCTCCTAATCAGGGCGTATGAAACCTTCGTGTGGCTACCATGGTGGGCAGCTACGTTTGCGTGAATGCCAGGTCTGCAGAGCACTGAAGTGCATTAAATGGAAGTTAATAGAGAATTGATTGAGTTTCATAAGGTACTGTTACAGGTTGGGGTATCATCATGCTTCCTTCTTTAAAATTTACTTTTACTTTTTAGACTTTTTTTTAATTCTAAAGACTTTATTTATTTTACATGTATGAATGTTTTCCCAGCATGCATGTATGCACACACCATGTGCGTGCCTAGTGCTGAGGAGGTCAGAAGAGGCCATCAGATCCTCTGAAACTGGAGTTACAGATGGTTGTGAGCCACCATGTCTGTGCTGGGAATTGAACCGGGATCTTCCGCAAGAGTAGCAAGTGCCCTAAACTGATGAGCTGTGTCTACAGGCCTTACAGCTTCCTTTTGAAGGGCCTGCTGTGGTCTGTATGGATCATGCTTGTGAGCTGGAGCTTAGGGGAAAGACAGAAGTCCGACCGCTGAGGGGTTGGCTGGCTAGCTCCCCCCGACACCCGCCATAGACACAGCAGATTTCTGGCTTTGCTGCTTCATGGCCGAAGTCTCTGTGTGAACTCCATGTCTTGATCACACACTTCTTGTCTTGGCAGTTTCCTTGAAGATAACAAGAAAGGCCCTCCTTAGTGTTTGCATCCAGGCAAGATGTTTTTACCCTGGAGAGCCTTGTGTAGTATCTCCGTGTGGGCTCTCTCCCTGGGGACTTTGTGCAGCTGTTAAAGCACCCTGATCTTGCTGTGAGGTTCTCCAGGACCTTCTCACTAATAGCAAGCCCTGTTCATGAGCTGTGCATTCTTCTAAACCTGTTAGAGGAGAATGTCCCGGTCCTGCTTCCAAATTTTCCGTTTTCTGGGTACCACTGTTCCTACACGTTTGTTATCTTTTGCTGTGTTGGATCAGGCTTACTAGGTGGGAGAACATGAAGAAAACCACACAGACACCAAGTTAGAATCTGTAGAGTCGTGTGTGTTAATGTCCAGCAGCTAACTCGCCCCAGGCAGGCACATGGAAGACCCTCAACCCCCATTGGCTTCCTAGGCAATTATGTCCCTGAGATAGAATACAAATCAACTAAAATATCTAGGTACCTTAATCAAACTTGGGGACCACAACTTGTGTCCCATGTCCGGTCCAGCCACCTTTGCTCAAGAAGCCAGTTTTAAAAGGACCACATTAAAAATGGAAAGCAGAAAAAGGAGACTTATTCAGTGTGGCCACATTGGGAAGAGGGACAAAGAGATCAAAAGCTGCTTTCTCCCAAGTCCGTCTTCGGGTCCTGAAGTAGCATCCAAAGTTCAAATAGAGGGCCATGAATGCGCACACCTAAGCAAGCCCAGTCAAGGTGTGGCCCCACCCACCACTCACCCATCATTACCTGGGTTTCAGACTCATCTTGTAAGATGTTCTGACATGTTGATAGAACCCTGTGAAATCTCTTTCTGGGAGATAAGTTCTTCCCTCCTGGCGCCCTGTCCTTCTCTCAGCATGAGATTTCTAGGGAACTTCTTTAGGGTCCGTTGTTTCAACAGTCTGATAGTCAGACTGAGAGACTCAAGTGTCTCTTTGGAGTGGCTTCATTTCTGCCAGGCTGGTCCCCGTTACTGTGATTAAGGGGGACAGAAAGCCAGCAGAGGCCATGGACTCCAGAGTGAGTCTCATCTTTCCCGTTGGTTTTATTTAATGATGGTGATGGGAGTGAGGAGATGAGCCAAGGCTGTGCCTGCAGCTATTCTGAGTGGGCTTCCGGGGTCCACACGCTAGCCAGCCTCACCGTGGCTTCCGTCCCTGCCTCTGCAGTGGAAATGCTCTGCACAGGCCTCCCAGGTCTTGGGGAGTCTTTCAGTGCTTGGATGTCACCACTGCTGTCTGGACTGTGGGTGACTAGACCTACTGCTTAGTCGTCTCCCTTCTCTCAGCTGCCGAGGTGTTGGGTCCCGGGTGCATGCACAGCGGACGGCCCTGTTCCATTCTTCTTCCTCTTCCTCCCCATCCAGACTACAGTCTGCTGCTTCTGTGGTGTGGCATCCTCCACGGGTGCTGTGGCAGTTCTCTTCTGTCCTCCCTGATGACACCACTGCGTGGTGCACAAACCTGCCCCCTGCACCTCCTCACCTCCTGCCCCACACCCACCCCTAAATCCCATTTCCACTCAGCTGCTAGAGTGATCTCTCTTCTGCCTTTTTGGGTTTTACATTAAAACTTCTTGTTATTATTATTTTATTGTGTGGATGTTTGCCCTGCTTGTATGTCATGATCATAGAGGCCCGAGGAAGACATGGAGTCCCCTCTGGACCTGGAGGTAAAGATCATTGTAAGCCATCATGTGGGTTCTGGGAATCGAACCCAGGTCCTCTGAAAGAGAAAATGCTCTTAACCGCTGAGCCATCTCTCCTGCCCTTGTTTTTTAGTTTTGAGACATGATGTAGCTCAGGCTGACCCTTGAGATCTTTCTGTACCAGCCCCTGAGTGCTGGGATTATAGACCTTTGCCATCTCATCTGGCCTGGGGGTGGGAGTGGGCCTTCCCAGGACCTGAGAGTCTGCTTATGTTCCTGCTGTGCTGGAGATCTCTACAGGACTTCCCCTTCCCTGTCCCCTTGTCATGTTGCCCTGGCCCTGGATGATGTCCAGCCTCCTGTCCTGTGAGACTGTTGTAATTTTCAATGCTTTCTCTCCATCTTAGCCTTTGACCTTGCTCCTCTTCCTGGAGTTTCTGTCCTGCTCCTCTTCACCTGGCCACCTCTTACATATCCCTGGGACCCAGCTGAACTGCCATCGCCCTCAAGGCTTGTATTCTGCCGTATGGAGCTCAGCCTGTCTGATCTCTCGGCCTTGGGGACATTCCTCTCCTATTTAATATTGCAAGGGATGGCTGTCTTCTGGACAGGCATCCCTTGAAGGTCGGAGCCTTGTCTCATTTATCCTGGTGCTTCTGCTGTCTAGGACAGGACGTGCAGATAGTAAGCACTCCTTACGTGCTGAAGGAACCCCAAGGAAAGGAGCTGTTGAGCAATCACCAAGAATTTCTCAGTTGGCCCTGGGTTTGAATTGCTTGGTTAGGATTGCTTGGTCACTGCTGTTTAAGGGTAGAGACCTTCTCTTTCAGGGAGCTTTAGGGAGCGTGTGCAGAGGGTTGTTACAGACCCAGCCATGGTGAGGCAGGTACAAACTGCTGTGACTTGACTGCTCAGTGTCGTCATGGCTTTAATTTGGCCTGTGGATGAACTTGGCACTTTCCTGGGGACCTCACTTGCTTGAATGACACATCTCCATCAGCTGGGCTGTGAGTCACTCTTGGTCAGGGACGGAAACTGATGTTTTCTCTTTGCCAGGGAATGGAGACGTAGCAGATTCACATGGCTACCGAGGCATCGTTCATGCCTGTGGCCAGGAGCTGCCTCAGGAAGCCCTGTGCAGATGATAAGCATCATTCTTCCTCCTTTGGCTCTCTACCGTACCTAGCTCTCTTCTGTGGTGTGCGTCCCTTCTTGTGGCCCTGCCCTCATCAGCCTAGGCCACAGGCAGCTCAGGTCAATGTGAGTCTTCCTGCTTCCTTCCTGACTTCATTTTCATCCCTCTCTCTTTTTCTATCTCCTTTTGTTCCTCTTTGTTCACTTCCTGTCTTGATTTTTCTTATTTCTTGGGACAGGGTCCCACAGCATATCCCAGGCTGGCTTTGAACTCAAACTCCCCCTGTCTCAGCCTCCCCAAGTGATGAGACTTTACAGGCCTGTGTCGCAAAGGCCTAGCTTGCATTCTCCTTTTGTTTTGCACTTGGGGAGCTGGAGCTGGGCCTTGCCCATGCTCAGCAAGCACGCCACCATTAATTCACACCCCTATCCCTGCTATTTCTCAACACGAAGCGGTCGCCCAGGGAACAACAGAGCAAGATAACTGAGTACCCTGGTCGAGGCTGATCAGGTGTGTCTCGGGACATCCAAACTGCTGTTGTCCTTCAGCAAGGCTATGGTTTCCCATGACACAGCCAGCTTTACTGTCTCCGCACTTTCTGTAGGTAGTGGCAGGTCCTAGGTCCCATCCCACGGCGGTCCCAAGACTATTGTTTGGCTTTTCCAATGGGGGCAAGCTGAGTGGGCATATTCTCCTCTGAGTTGCCAAAGGACAGTCTGATCAGGGTGGATGGTGTGACATCATCCCCCTCCTACTGTTTATTCAAACAGAGTTGAACTGTCCAGCATGTCAGCGGCACAAATAGCAATGAGGTTAGCTGTAGGTGGCCCAGGGACTGGAGCCCTGGGACCGCATGAATCCCACACAGCCTGCTGCCTTTATAATAGTCTTTCAGAGCTTCTCAAAGGCTCTGTTTTCAGTAGGGAACAGATCTGGCTTTGTCCAGCTCCAGGCTGGGGTGCTGATGTCATTGGACCCCTCTCTGTGGAGGGACACGACTGTCACATGGGCATAGGTGGTCGAACTTGAGCATGGTGGCTGTACCAAAGAGTTGGGGTGGCCTGATGCACCTGTATGTCTGATATTCTTTCGTCTGTTTTGAGCTGCAGACCTTGGGGTCACCAAGTGGAATGGAACTAGCTGCTCTTTTTTTATCTGTCTCCTTTCCATGCAGCTTTGATTCTCTCCCTTATTACTGTCCTTATTTCTCCCTTTCCCTCCATCTGCCCTGTATCACTGCTAGGTACTTCTCACTACATCCACGGGACAGCATCGCTAAGGGAACCTGGTCCCCTGTGGTCAGCAGGGAGTCAAGCCTTTTCTGTTATTCCACGACACCACCAGTGGTACAGTATCACTTCAGTTCCACTGGTTTCTGGTCACACACAACACGGCCCGTGTGTAGAGTGGGTCACAGGTTCACAAAGCATATCCACACCCAGCCACTTCTGGGAAGAGCTAGGCAGGCTTCTCTTTCAGCCTGAGTCCTCACTGTCCATCTCGCATGGCCTAGGGAGAGGATGACGGAAAGAGAGAGGAATGAGGCAGGAAGTACACTGAGGAGCCTCAGAAGAGGTCTTGGCGTGGGTGGCCAGGGTTGGGCGTGGGGAGCTGTTCATTGTTTACTCGTATATTCCAGCTGTCTCCTCCCAGTTCTGAGCTGGGAGGCCCAGCCAGGTTAGGAACATTCTCCCTGCCTAGCACTGTGGATGCTCACGTGGCAGAGCGCCACAGCCCCACGGTGAACCCCCAGTTACCTGCTGTCTGTCTCCTCCCAGGTCTTTGCGTGATGAGTGCAGCGGCCATCTACACAGTGAGGCACAGTGAGTGGCATGTCAACACGGGCTACTCCTATGGCTTCGCCTACATCCTGGCCTGGGTGGCCTTTCCCCTGGCCCTCCTCAGTGGCATTATCTACGTGATCCTACGGAAACGTGAATGAGGTGCCCGACGCACCATCCGTCGAGGCTCTGAGCGCGCATAGGGTCCACGGGGAGGGAGGTAGGAAACCAGAAAAAGAAGCCCCACAAACCAAAAAGAGCTAGCCCCAAATCCAAACGCAAGTCCAACCAAACAGAACGCAGTTGAGTGGGGATTGCTGTCAATTGAAGATGTATATAATATCTATGGTTTATAAAACCTATTTATAACACTTTTTACATATATGTACATAGGACTGTTTGCTTTTTATGTTTGACTGTCAGCCTTGTGTTGAATCTTAAAGAACTTTACATTCTAACACTATAACCAAGTTCAGTATCTTTGTTTTGTTTTTTTGTTTTTATTTTTGTTTTTATCTTTGGTTTTGCTCAGAAGTAAAAACTCCCACATGGTCCCCTTCATCTAAAAGCAGATACCTCCCTCCCACTCAACCTCATAGGATAACCAAAGTGTGGGGACACACCCCGAATGGCCAAAGGCCTTCACACTGTGGGTGACCTGGTGCATTTAGCAGGACTACCCACTGCCTGAATGGCTGTGTGGAGCCCTAAGCACTCACAGACGAAACGCCCTGAACCAGAGCCCTCCGCAGAAACACGGCTGGTAACTCTGGAACCCTTGTCCTTGCAGGCAGAGTACCAGGGCCACGCATTTAAATGAGAAGTCAGAGACAAGGAGTCTGTGAAATGGTGCTATGGATTTACCATTCCTCGTTATTACTAATCATTTAAACCACTCACTGGAAACTCAATTAACAGTTTTATGGCATAAGGCAGAATGGAGACCTGAATAATTGTGTGTGACATAAACGGTTCATAACTGCTTTCGTACCTAGCTAGGCTGTTGTTATTACTACAATGAATAAATCTCAAAGCCTCCATCGCTCCCACAGTTTTCTCACGGTCGGAGCATCAGGACAAGTGTCTAGACCCTTGGGATTGTGAGTTCCCTGGCTTGCTGGGTCTAGAATGTCCTGTGCCTCCAAGGACTGTCTGGCAATGACTTGTATCGGCCACCAACTGTAGATGTATATACGGTGCCCTTCTGATGCTAAGACTCCAGACCTTTCTGTTTTTGCTTGCTTTTTCTGATTTTATACCAACTGTGTGGACTAAGATACATTAAAATAAACATCAGAGTAACTCACTGTGTCTCCCTGGCTTTTGTGGGTCCTGGGTGTGGGTTCAAGGCACGAACTTCAGTGGAGGGGGAGGTGCAGTTAATGGTGTGGGCTGCAGTGTAGCGCTTCAGGAGTGAGCTCATGGCCATCTCACAGGTAGCTGGAACATGTGATGCCTTCAGTGTCTACAATATCTGCCAATTGTACAGAGCTGGGGCGTGGAGCCAGAGGGCAGGCTGTCAGTGGCCTGGAAGGAACCGCAGTGTTCGTTTGGTCCCCCTCTGTGATGGCATGCACAGGGAACACGGGCACGACAGAATTGTGTTTCTATGCAGAGGAGATTGGCATGAGCAGCATCGGCCTCTGAATTATTGTCCGAATGGCGTTTTGAATAGTAATGGTAATAAAGTGGGAATAGCAGAGCTTCTAATCCCATCAGGAGGGCAGAGGTGTCCTAAGCATTAGCCAGCTCCAGGCTTGTTATTCCCTAGCCCTTTGCAGTGGTACAGCATGTTGGGCTACGAAGTCATCCACATTTATTGAACTGTTCCTTTGAACTATGCTGAAGGTCAAGAAAGAGTGAGAAAATTCCCATCGTTGAATTTTAATGAGCAAGGCAACCCAATTTTAATGAGCAAGGTAAATCAGAGTAATGGTGTAAGACCATGGAAGGTAAGCAGCCCAGGCAGGAGCCTGCCTTCTGCTGCTTCCCAACAGGAGCACGTCCTCTTCCTTGTCTGTAAGACGTGGATTCTGGTGTGAAGGCTCTAAGGCTGTAAGACTCAAAAGGTGATGGGAGCAAAGTACTCAGAGTAGTGACTACACTCCAGAAAACACCCTGTGAGTTAGTTACCACAGATCATCATAGACGAATCTTTGAAAGAGCATGGAAGGACGTCCTGATTGTTTACCTGGGTCTTGGCTCCCAGCCTGCACATTAGACCTTGTTTTACAGGGGTCCCACCCCAGACACTTGGATTCCCTGTGCCCGGGATGGCAACATCACCTCATGATGAAACAGCAGAAAGAAAATGGTGGCATACAGAAGGGGCCACACATGTGAGGTGGCCAGACTTGACAACCTGCTGTCTTGAGGGCTGATCAGCTGTTTAAGACCAGCATCAGTCCCTCAGGAGGGTGACGCCAGGCCCACCAGACCTCAGTGTGCTCCTGAGTCACTTGGCAGCCCTGGATGATGCTGACTGAGATCCACATATGAGTGGGGCCTGAGAACCTGCATTTCCAACAAGTACCTGGGTGAGGCTGGTGTACCCAGTGTGTTGTGAGTATCAGCAGCCTACAGGGCAGCCACCTGCAGCCACCTGATACTTCTGCCTGAACACCTGTGGCAGGGTTGTGAATCCCATCTGAGACTCTGTGAGGACCTGTACTTGTGAGTATGACACAAAGACTTGGCTACATTTCCACAACTAGCCGTGGGATGCAGGTGAGAGTGACTGAGAAAACCAGGACGCTGACTCCACAAGCCTGTAGTCTGAAGACACTCTAATTCTATAAAACTTGTCTTAAAAGACAATTTAAATAAAATGTTAAAGTATTTTATTTAAATTGGCATAGATAATGCACAAAGAAGAAAGCTAACAATGGACCCCAACTCTCCCCATCTGAGTAATTCCATTGATTAATATGAATTATAATATATACGTATATGATACATACAAATCTAGGCTTATAGCATCCTAGCCATATCTAGACAGTAATAAAACTGGAAAAATTTTCCCCCATCTCATAGTCTCTTGACATAAGTGCCCACAAAACCAATAACAAGGGGATAGTAAAATAAGATACGATTCATTCCAGAAAAATTGTTGAACTTACATTGGACATCGATGCCTATAAAGTGAGCACCAAGCGGTCCGATGGCACACACTGTTCTGTATCTTGTTTTCTGGTAAAAGCTGGAGCTCACTTTATGTCAGCATGCACCCCAATGTCTTTTAATGAGCTCTGGTTTAGTCTTTTACTATATAGCTGCACAAACCTTTATTTACTATCCCCCTATTGATAGGTACTGAGCCTGTGTCCTGTTTTTTATTATTACCCCAAGTGTTTCAGTGCACATCCTCATGCATGAATACTGGTGGGTTTTTGAACTTTGCCCTCATGCCATATTCCTGGTAGGGAGGGTGCCAAGACAAAGGGCAGTTGTATTTTGAAAACAAACAACAAACAAACTTGGTTGACATTACCTGTTTCATCTCCAGAAAACTTGTACCAACTGTGTTTGAGAGTCAAGTGTTACTTTGCTGTCTTGACTCTTGGGGTTCAACAAGAAGAGAATGGCTACAGTAGAGATGCTAGAAATGGCTTCTCTGTCACCAGATCCATGGGGAAGGTCTGTGTGGCTCCCCCATCCTGGGGCAGTCTCGCTGCCTTGCTACCCTGTCCGTTGCAGTATGTTGAGTCTGGTCTAGGACCTGATATACAGCAAACAGGGAGTCTCACAAAGGGACTGGACACTGAGGCATAGGGCATGCAACTCTTAAGCAATAAACGCCATTATGCAGTGTGTGGTTTTGTCTTAGTCCGTTTTCTGTAATAATTACCTGAGCTGTTGTTGGATTTTCATTTACTCTAGCCCCACGTTGGGTACCAAAGTGTTGTTGGCTATTTTTGCTCTTTTGGCTTTTTGGGGGGACTCACCACCCAGCTCCCAAACAAATCACACACTGAGGCTTATTCTTAATTATAAACACCCGGCCTTAGCTTGACTTGTTTCTTGACAGCTTTTCTTAAATTATCCTGTCTACCTTTTGACTCTGGGCTTTTTCCTTTTCTTCTGTGTATCTTACTTTCACTCTTACTCTGTGGCTGGCTGGGTGGCTGGGTGGATGGTTCCTAGCATCTTCCTCTCCTTGTTCTCTTGCTCTTTCCTTTTTTCCTCCCAGATTTCTCTTCCTATTTATTCTCTCTGTCTGCCAGCCCCACCTATCCTTTCTCCTGCCCTGCTATTGGCTGTCAGCGCCTTATTAGGCCAATCAGATATTTTAGAAAGGCACATTAACACAGCTTTGCAGAGTTAAACAAATGCAACATAAAAGAATGCACATTTTTGCATCATCAAAGCACATGTTCCATCCACAGCATAAAAAAAAATGTAACACATCATAAAATTAATATTCTACAACACTGAGCCTAGGTACTTCATAAGGAAAAGAGATTTATTTAGTTTGAACTGGACTGGGTGATCCTATTTGTGTTGACTCTGGTCAGGGCCCCACAGCTGTACCACATCCTGGCAGAAAGGCAAACGGCTGCATAAAAAGGGGGAGGGTATGTAGTGTGGCCTTACTTTATGGCAACCTGTGGTCTTGAGGGCATCGATCCACTGACACAGTGATACCTCCAGAGACATAATCGCCTTCCATCAGGCTCTACCACTGAACATTGCAGTTAGGGAGCTCTGAACCTTTGGGAGGCACACCCAAACCACACAGAAATTCTCACCATCTGCTCAGCGACCACCCTGAGCGCAATCTGGCTGTAGTCTCAGAGTTGTTCTTTCCTTACCCAAAGTATGAAGTTGGCAAGAGTAGAGACTGGCTTCCGGTCCACAGGGCCAGGATCCCCACCAACCCACTCCTCAGTCAAACCAGAAAAAGAACACTCTGCGGATGGTATCAAGGAGATAGCAAGGAAGGTGACATAGAAACACTCAGGAAATTTAGGTGACGAAGTTGAGAGAGTCTGCCGTTCGAACTGAGATTGCTCTCTTGTTACCCACCTTATCCCAGTTCCCCGAGGTTGAGATCACACTGCATGGCAAGAGCCAAACACAGGATTCCACCTCCCCAGCATCTAGCCAAAGAGCTTGCTTCCCTGGGGAGCTGGTCCTTGGCATTTCTCATTCTACCCTCCTACCCACTCCTGAGATCCAGCCCTAGCTGAGTGCAGTGTGAGGTGGCGGGAGGGGGAGGGGGAGGGGGAGGGGGAGGGGGCTGCTTCCTTTCCTCAGGCAGGCTCACTTTTAAGGTGGAGGCACAGGAGTTCAGTGCTATGATTACGGGGTCCTGCTCATTCTTGCCCTGTTTCAACCAGGAAGACAGGGCCTCCTGCCTTTCACAATGCTCAGATCCTTGGAGGAATGAGGCTGTCACTGAGAGCAGTGGGTTCACACTTCGGTGAAAGAAAAGCTGAGCTGAGCATGGCCAAGGCATGAAAGTAGGGGATGATGGATTCCCAAGGACATCTTGGGAGCTGTTTCCAAAGCAACACCTTCCCTCCAATGAAGCGCGAGATTTTATTCTAGGAGCCTACACTCATTCACATGCCAACCACCCTGGAGGTGGGCACATGTCTGAGCATGCTCAGTTAAGGAGTACATCCTAGCTCATCCTCAGCTTAAAGGTATTAAGATAAGACGGTAGAACATGATTTTGTTTTGTCGTGCTTAGCTCAAGTCATAGAGCACATAGAGACTACAAGGATGGACAGGAATGCCTCTAGATATCCTCAGTTCATGTTATGAGGGTTTAGCTGAAGATAAAGGGGATGTCGCATTACTACAGGAGTTGTCCGTCAAGGCACCTGACTCAGAACTGTGGAGGAGCCGTCTGAGAGAAGCTTGCTGTTGTTCCTACTCCAAATACCACAGCCTTGGCTCCAAGAGTACCAGGGTGAAGAAAAACTGGGCCACAGAGCAAACAGCTCCTCTCTTCTCCCCAAGGAACCGACAGCATTTGTCCCAGAGTGAAGAAATTGAAGACTAAAGGCACAGTCAAGGAAAATGAAGGTTACGGCGAAGACATCTGGGGGGAATCCAAGCTGCAAACTAGAACTCAGGCACCCTGGTTTGTGAGAGAGATCCAGACATACGGACAAGGAGGAGGCTGTGGGTCTGAACCAAGCCAACCTCTGACCATGGGGACTATTTATTCCAAAGAGTCAGAATCTGGGCGAGCTCTTGGTAGAACAATTTATAACCCAGGACATTGTTGGAAACAGTGGAGGGTTCATTTGGTAACAAGTGGAGTTTAACAACTGGGTGTGGTAAGGGACCGAAGAG